TCCGCACGCCTGGGGCAACGGCAAGCAGAGAGAGGCGGATAGCTCAAGACCGCACAGAAATCATGCGAGACGCGTCCTTCCCCAGAAGGCCTCAGGCCCTGGATGATCCCTTTTCTGATGAGGGCGGTGGTGATATCCACGGCCAAGCCCAGTGGCCTCCCAAAGGGGGTCCGAGCAGATGGGGTCGGAGGAGCGCGCCGCTTTTGGCACGTCGGCGCGGAGAAAATCTGGCTCTGCCTCGAGCCGCATCGCCGATGCATCGGCGAGGCGGCGCAGTCCACCGACCCCGTCTCTTCCGATCCCATCTGGGAGACCTGGAAGCCTCGGTTGGATTCCTGGCCCACAGGTGCCTTCTCCAATGCCCTCCCCGTAATCGGGCGAAGAGAACTATGCACATGCACCGATCCTGGCAAGGCCCATTTTTGACCCAGGATCGGTGCATATGCCTTCCTGGCCAAGGTAAGAGGGCGTATGCACCGATCCTGGGCTCAGGATGGGCCTGGCCAGAATCGGTGCATGTGCATAGTTCTTTTTCCTCTACGTAAGGGGCCTGCCCAGCACTCCTGGTCCGGCGCCCTCCGGCGCTGTCACTCACCGCGCTGCGCGCGCGGGCCGACGGGCGCGGGGAAGGTGCCCCGACGCCCGCGCGAACAAAACCGTAGGCGGATTTCCGAAGCTTCTGCGCCCGCGTTCTGTGCGCCCTGCCACGGTAGGCTCGCATCGTGTCGTCCAGCTGCGAACCTGCCGTCGGCGTTCAGCGTGAAACGCGGGCGGCGGCTCAGAGACGGTGGATGTTGAGCGATCTGTCGTTTCAGAAGCGGCCGATCGCTCAAGGTTGAACGATCTCAGCGGGGTCAGAAACCACCGCCGAATCGGCACGACATGAACCCGCGGTTCTTGCTTGCTGTTTTTTCTTTCTCGTTCTCTTTCTCTTTCTCTTTCTCTCTCTCTCTCTCTCTCTCCCTCCGAGGATTATGATGTCCCAACCAAGTTTAGCCATGATCACCAGAAATAAGTTCGAGCACCAACAAAGCACCGAACCTCGAGGGTTTCCACACGCCGGGCCCCAGGAGACACTCGCCCGACACCGCTTCGGCACTCTCTCGACACTCCTTCGACACTTTTCTGGGTTCTCGGATTTGGTTCTGGGATGTGGCCCTGAAGTACGATCGGGCCGGGCGAAAGGGGGGGATTGGGAAAGGGGGGGTTACGAAATCTGCTGCATGCAGCTGGTTTCGGCCTCACCGAGGGGCCCATTCCTCGATACATGGGCGCCTCCCAGCGCCGGGAGGCGCCGGGAAAATCAGCTACGTGAGCTGATTCTCAAACCCCCCCTTTGCTATCCCCCTCTTTCGCCCGACCCGATACGATGGGAGCAGCACATCATCCCAGGAGAAGCAGGGACCGCCGGCACCGAGCATCCATCGGGGAGGGGCCGCCCCCCTGGGCGGTGGCACGCCCGAGCGCCGCCCGGTGCAGGGCGGCGCTCGGGCGCGCCGCCGGCCGGGGGGTCACCTCCCCGCCCCCCCCTGTGGGCTCTCGGTGGCGGTCGTCCCTGGTCCTCCCTCGCGGGCGATGTTTCTCCCCCAACCCCCCAGTTTCGCCCGAAAAGTTTGGCCGCTCAGAAAAATGGGAAAACCTTGGGATACACCCCAAGGGGGCTATTCGGACGCACCCCTATCGAGGATGGACACTCCCCCATCGTATATCCCAGGGTTGGGCCCAAAATGTCTGGTCCATTCTGAAGCCCAACGAAGCCTGGGATAGGGGTCGACATATCCCATGTTACTCCCCTCTCAGGAGGGAGCAAAAACACACAGACACAATGAATCGGCGACTGCCCAGAAAGAAGTATAGGAAAACATGGGAAGGTGGGGGGGAGACGAAAACGCAGAACGTATGGGGAATCCCGTTATTTGTGTGCGTGTATTTATTTATTTGTGTGTCCTTGGGCCCCTTCACTCTTCTCTCCTCCCCCTCGTGACTTGAAGCGGTTCCCAGCATCCGCAGCCTGCAGCCTGTGTTAAGTCGGGCCTGTCCCTCTACAGGATGAATATTCCAAGATAGTCAAAAGATAGTCCGGGGACGATGTTTGCTTCTGTTTGACCACATTGGAGCATGTTTGGGGCTATTTTTATTGTTCGTCCAAAAGCCCCCCGTATGGGGGACATGCCCGACCTAAAGCTCGTGGGGCCCGTCGCCTTGGCTTTCGGTCCTGGCTGCTCGGTCGGGCCCTTTCGCTCGCTTCGCTCCTGGTTCCTTCCTTAGTCGGCCCTTCGTGTCGGCTCGGCCCCTCGGGGCCTCGTTCGCTCGGGCTCCTCACGGAGCGAGCGCAGTGTTTCCAACCCTCGCACTGGCAAGAAATCCTCCCCTGTCTCATATCGCCGACTGCCCCCTCTTGTGTCAGGAGGGAACAAAAACACAGAGACTCCATCAATCGTCGACTCCCAGGAAAGTATGCGAAAACATGGGAAGTGGGGGGGAAGACGAAAACAGTGAAAATATGGGGAATCCTGTCACGTGTGTGTATTTGTTTGTGTGTCCCAGGGCCCCTTCACTGTGCCCGTCGGTGCGTCTGCTTCCTGCTTCGAGCGCTGAGGGAGGGGCCGGGGCCGAGCAGTCTGCGCTGGTGCCTCTTCCCAGCCGGACCTCGCGCGTGGAGGGGGGGTTGGGCGCCGCGTAATGGGGGGGTCATAAATGGGGGGGCGGCGAGTGTGGTCCGAAAAGGTACCCAAACGGTACCTAACCGAGCCCCCTGGGGCTCTGGAGGGGCCCGAAAGGGGCACGAAAGGGGACCTTTTTTGACCCCCCCATTTGTGACCCCCCCATTAAGCCACGCCCAACCCTGGTGGCCCCCTGAGCGCGGCCGTCTGAGCCGACCTCGCCGTTCTCGGTCTGCCACGTCCGCCAGGCGCTCGTCCGTGCTCGCCCTGTGGCCCTGCCTCGCCCCCATTGGGGCCCCTCGTCGCCACAGCCCTGGCAGGGCTCCTCGAGGCCTGTGGGGGCAGGCCGGGGCGGAGCTGGGCGCGTGGCGCAGCTGCTTGCAGATCTTGGCATCGCTCGGACGCGTGCATTTTTTCTCGGCGAGGGCCATCGAGGAGCACCTTTTGATCATTTAGAGGAAAATACACGCACGAAGTCGAAAACTGCACGAGGAATGGACGTCCGAGCGATGGCGAGAAATGGGAGGGGTCTGGATCCCAGGCTTTATGTTTGGAATCTGTGGCTGTCGGTGCAGAGGGAGCTCTGCTCGACCTGTGCAGCAAGGCCCCCTCCCTTCCCGTTACTATCTTCCCAGCACCGCCTCCCCTACCCCTTTTCCATTTTCGCCACCGTGGCATCCCTTCCCTCTCCTTCGTTCCCTCGTCTCTCCCCGCCCGTAGTACCCCGACGCCGCGGCCGCTTCCAAGGATCGAGGTGTTCTCGGATTATGGGGAGGCCGGCCAGCAGCTCCACGACACCAACGACGCGACGACCACGGCCTTCCGGTTGGTGGACAGCGTCATCCTGCAGGTGGCCTGGGAGGCAGGGGGATTAGAGATCAGCTAAACAACCCTGCCTTGCGTCTCGTGAGAGACGCTGTGGTCTTGGCATCGCGCGAAACCGAGAAAAGCACAGGAAATGGAAGTCCGAGCGATGGCCAGTGGTGTCCCCCGAACCCAGCTGGGGGCCAGCCTCGCCTCGTCGGCGAGCCACGCCTCTTGAGGGGCGCGCCGTCTCGGCGCGGCGGCTGCCTTCGTCGAGAGGGTGGCGTCGGGTTATCCTCGGGGGCAGCGGTCCCCCGGCGGTGCGATCATTTTCGAAGCTCAGGGCCGGTCAGATATTCAAGATTGTGTTTAAGGTTGCCTGTTTGATGACGCTTGCTTGATTGGTGGTGGCGCTGGCGTTCATAGCTACTTGCCTGACTCTATCCCCGCCTCCGCTTCACAGCATGGTAGCGTCATAGGTCACCTTGGTTAGTCAGATTCAGTCTGCACTTCATAAGCTGACACTCTGAAAGCGTGTCGCCCTCCATTAGTGAAGTTCAGATGCAACTCCTGGGAGGTCAAATTCTGTTTTCGCCCTGGTCCGAAATTCGGCTTAATCCAGCTAAATCCCGCTTAATCCCGCTTAATCCCGTTTAATCCAGCTTAATCCCGCTTAATCCGAGGCCCATTCCGGCGTAACAGCTCCCAAATGGGGCTTAATCCTCCTTAATCTTTCCGACGAAAACCTCCCAGCAGTTGCCTCCTAAGTGAAGCATTTGCAAATTTCAAGTTTCAGTGTCATAAATGGTGAGGAAACTTCAGGCGGAGCGCCGTGCCCGCCTCTTCGGCCGGCCTGGGGGTGCGACAGGGAGGAGTTACTATAAATGAAAAAAGGTGGAGGAGGAGGGGGGGGAGGAGGCGGAGCTGGCGGAGGAGGAGGCGGAGGCGGAGGAGGCGGAGTAGGAGGAGGTGGAGGCGGCGGAGGAGGCGGAGGCGCAGGAGGATCTTTAGATGGACAGCCAATCCGCTGGAATGGCTCTGCGGCCGTCTGGGCGGGCCGCGGGACGCCTCAGGAAGCTCCAGTCGAGCCCCAAAGACCGCATGTCCGAAAAGCTCCCGGATCAGAACGCGGCCGCAAGGGCTGCCGCCCGGCAACGCCAGTGCGCGAACTGATAACAGAATACAAGCCGTGAGGCGCAGACGCTAGGGCCCCCCAGAGCCATCCGAAAGCCCTGGAGTTCCCTAACAGACGCAATTCGAATTATGGGAAAACCCAGGACATCGAAGAAGTGGGTGCAACTGGCCGGCTATGGGTTCCCCAGAATGCCGAATTGTTGGAAGGCCCGCGAGGCGCCAACGAGGCTGCAGGGGCCGGCAGCATGGCGCAATCCCTGGGACCCCGAAGCAGTATGGAGCGACCTGGCGATCGACAGGCCGCCGATCGTCCCAGGCTGGAAGGGCCCGCGAGGTGTCGGAAGGAAACGCGTAGGGTCGTCACCACGCGAGCCTGCCGCACGTGGCCGCACCCGCCCG